AAGACAATGCTGTAAAGCGATATCGTAAACACATCGAGAACGATTTCGATGAGAGCGCAGATCAATGACCAATTCTAGTTTTGAGCCACAGCAGTTAGCAGCCATTACCGACACTTCTCGCTCACTGTAAAAGGGTAGGGTAGACTCACCTGAAGTCGGCAGACAAGCGCATAGTCAACCTTCTCCGAGAAGACCTCCGCTCTTTTGTTTTCAACGCAGGACCACCCCCACATGTCCTTGTTGTTGCTGTTGTTGCGAGTAAATTGTAGGATACCGGCGGCGGCGGCCCATAGGACTGACGAAGCAATGAACCACCCAACCGCGAACAGCGTGTAGTAGACACCAACCTTTTCAGCTCGGTGATGGCCGCCTCTGAGATAGCCGATAAAGATGAGAATACAAAGTAAAAGATTGACGCCGGAGACCGAAAGGACGACAATCTGTGGCCATAGCTGCGTGCCTTCTGCCCAGGCGGGCAAGCCACTTTGTGCCGCAAGATGGTTTGTCGTACGGAATACGTTAAAGGAAACTGCAAGCAGAGAAATAATGATCAGGCTGCAGCTAAAGCTGATGCCACGGAGGGCGAATTTAGCCATTCGAACTCGATATTTCAGTCCCTAAAATGTTTATGTTTAGTGATTACACGTAGCTTATGTTGCGCAAAGAAACATACCACATCCTTCTTTTGGGCCGCTTCCGTATCCTTTTCTCTAGCTTCAAGGATATCCTCTTCTCTGAATGTCGGGCTTAAAAGGTTTTCAAATCTCCTCCCTGGCGTGCCGGGGATTTTCATCGCACTCTTCAAGGGTGATTTCGGTGTCATGGGCATATTGACTGTTTGTGTCCGCGTATCATCGTTGATATACCCAAAGCCCACATCAGCCGGCCGAGCTTGTGTGGCCCGTGAAGTTTCACCGGGGTCGCTAAATGGATTACTCGTCGGCGGCTCGATGGGTGAGTGTACCGTGGTGGCTTCTGCGAATCTGGGGGTCCTTGGTGGCTTCAGTGAAGATGTCGTAGTAAACGACCCTTCTGTTGACGATGATTGTGACCGTGTCAGGTTGAGGGCCGCAGGGCGCCTCCTCTCATCTTGCGGTGCCATTTTAATTGTGTGTGTGTGTGTAATACAATCAAGGAGAAGAACAATCACTCGTCCCTGCGAGTCGACTACCTGTATAATAAGAAGTGCTTCACGAACCAAGTCGTCTATTGATATGCGATCCCAGGTAGGACGAAGCAACTTTGAGAAGAAAAAAGAGTATGGAGACCAGCTATCGAAGAAAGAGAACCTTGGAGTTCGGAGACGGGAGGAAGGTATAGGTTTTGAATAAGCGCCCTCGGCCGTCTTAGGAGACCCTTCGACCTTCTCTGAGGCTTCCGCTTAGATGGTCAGTGGGGATGAGCGCAAGCATGCAATGGGATCACTACATCGAGCCAGGGTTTCGGCGGTACGTTCGAAAGAAGGCCTCTGATAGGGTGGCTAGAAACCCCCCAATCTCGAGTGGGCAAGTCTAGTGCGGGTAGGCGCCGTAGGTAACGGGGTGATGCCGCACAATGACATGCCTTGATTGTGTCGGAACTACCAGATTGCCTGGCGGATCTGCTGCTGCTTCACGAGCTGCTGGCACAAGCTACGGATTTCGAAGCACAGGACATCGACAGGACATGCAGGACAGGCAAGACTTCAGTGACGGGAAATGAGGCAGAGAAGGCGGTATATCCAGTGAGTGAGGGGATATTGGTAGCACCACATAACGTGCCCAGTCACTAACACGGAGGATGATACCTATTCTCAGCCATGGCACAAAGTAACATGGAATGGGCAGGCCATTCACAAGAGACACAGGTATTGGCATGGCGCTGCCGCTACCATCCTTACGACTGACCAACCACCAAGTCCAGCAGCCAGTTGTAGTGGTGATTGGTGATTTTCTGATGAAGTTGCGGACAACGGCTGAATGGGATGGTTGGTTCACTGGCTCGAGAGCGACAGGGGTGCCAGCAGGGGGCCCTCTCGGCATCCAGCGGAGAGCGGGAAAAAGGACCGTGATTGGACAAATGGCTTGCAGAAGACGGGCGGGGGCCCGTTGGCCAGAGCGCTTCGCAGGGCGCTAAGAGACCCTTGCCGAAGATCCTCGCATCTCATAGGCAGAGACGGCCTGGGGTGCTGCATACAAGAGCTGGAGCATCCACCAATCAGGACGCCTCAAGACGTGATGTCGCCAACTACTTGCATTGATCAACTCTGTGGGCGGCAAGATAGGGACTACCAAAGCAGGTACAAAGTATCCAGTCTTCCTAGGGACAAGCGAACAGCAAGATCCAGCCTCTCATTCTCTCTCTCATATTATATATTATATTATCTCCTCCACTTTGCGTCTTTGCTGCCAAAATCCCGCAAAGACGTCCGCCCTATTAGAGCTGCTGCCAAATGTTGCTGCTTCCTCCATGTATGCTGGAACTACCCTATTCTGAGGTATGTACCTAGGTAGGTAAATACATGTATATGCCAACGCCAAGGCCGTCATTCGGATGGCACCGGTGTACCAACGGAAGAAGTCGTGACCAAATGCGTAGAACTGTGCCTTTACTACAAAGTACCTACCTCGATAAGGACTCGCCTGACGCGGCCCGATCGCTCTAGTGGCCATCATCGCCGGCTGCATGGTGGTTCGACCGGGGGTTTCGACAAGTCCCACCTAATGCCTAATTTGTAGCGTACTGGGCAAAGCTGACCTTGGAATCACACTGGCAAAGGACCGAGGCTGTCCGACACCGAAACATAGACACAAACACGCATACAGCATATTACATACTACACACCATTAGCATATTTTTAGATTTCTTAAAGCGTGATAAATCCCCCATGAGGCCAATTACGCAGAGACTCAGGACGCCACTTAAGTTGTCCAATACGGTTAGGTAAATTCCTAGAATCACCAGCTCGAATGAGGAGTAGGTACTCGGTCTCGCTACATAGAAAAGCTGCTTAGTCGATGCAGTCACTAACATGAGGCGCAAGAAACTCCCCACCGCCTCGAGGCTGGACAGTATCTAACCTCGCCCGAACTATATGAGTCCTTGTCCCATGGTTGGTCTTACGGCTTTGCTGTCTATGCTGGCTGCGCCGAAGAGCAGTTCATACGTTTTCAGAGTTATACGGCAATCTCTTGTATGGGGTAGTACCTGTGATACTTAGACCTACAACTTGGCACGCAGGTTTCTTACCGCAGTCGTCATGCACCGAAATACCGGAATGGATAGGCCGGGAATAGAATATCGCCTCATAATGATCAATTGACAGAGGAAAGTGCTCATGACTATAGCCTGATAGTGTGGTCAAATACTACTACACCTCTTATATACCAACTTCGAGTTGGCAAGCAGCAAAACCTACAAGCATGAACGAAAGTACTATACATAATTTCGTACCTGGCTATGAGTGGTATCTATGTATAATAGTGTGCGTTGTAAGTGGTATATAAGGTGATAAGGACTCTACGCCCAAGACAACCAACCATCGTATAATATTCCTATACAGACCTTCGTGTTCGAAAGGCCGATCGCCTCATTCATATACGTCCCCTAGAGTCTAAGGGCTTGCTCCCATTCCGTTAGATGCTGATGCTGTGACTCGCATCACAACCTTCTTGACAGTTCTCACCGACCTGGTATTAAAAGTGATATATTCGGGTGGGACTGTGTCGCTTGCTCAGTTGTTCAGTAAACCACGGGCATATATTATTTGCCGACGTGCAGTTTCACATTCCGCGCTCAATCTGTAGTACCTAGGTCAATCATTGACACTACGGTCTGCATGTGTATGTTTCTATGATATAAAAAAATGAGTGCCTCAGTATAAAGGGGGGTGTCTGTCTTCAACTACCCAGTTAGATACACTTCGTAAGTGCTACATATATATGCGTGTTCGACAGAGCAGCCCACTCAACACCCACCAGCTCTTTGAAACGAATTATCGGAGACGTCTCGGGCTTGTTTTGAGGTGCTATGGCATCTCTTTCCCGCGAACAAGGGCATTTTATACCTCCTTGCACACAGGAAAGATATGGCCAGTAGGAGAGACAATATGAATATTCGGATAACATGCCGGCGAACTTCATGCGACAAACTGATTCACAGGAGTGACGGGCGTCTGCCGTGCCACATAGATCTAGACCATAAATAGGTGACGCCGTCGTTGTTGGCCGGCTGTGGCAGGAGAACTTGCTCATGTGCGATATCAGCGAGTCTCGTCAGAATTCCTAGATGATATACTAGATCTAGGCACTGCCATTATCATGATGCTCATAGGTCAATCATGACTGGGCTCTCGCCCCAGCGACATACCTCGGACCGTTGGCAAGAGAGGTTACATAAGCTCGCCGGGACACACAGCATGGTATAGTTCTCCTACTCTAAATATATCCAACACCGAACTATCGGTCCTACATGAATCTGAGGCCGGATACCTGTGAACCAGTCGCTTTTCAGTCGTTATCATATCGACTATAGCGCCAAAGCTTGAGAGAGTCACAGCCTCATGAGAAACGATGGATCTCCGACGCCGGCGACTGTTGATCCCTGAAAATAGGCCTGTCCATTTGAATTTTGCGACCTGCTGGAGGCAGCATGAAATGTTGTCACGATAAAGCCAGCCTGGCCTATATGGAAGCCCGCCTAATTCATATTCACTGTCCACGTCCGAGGTAACAACTTCGTCCCAAGCCATGATTCCAGTACCTATCGGAAATAGCCCGCATAACCACCGCCTCTTGGCAGTGTTAACAAGCGACCCGACAATGCAACTCCGGGTTCGGTCCACCACACAACCACACCCACGCTACGGGAATCGGCAACCCAATCCAGTCTCGCGACAGGATGGGGCAAAAGAGGGTCAAACCACATAGTATTTTCCACCCTAAATACTTCAAACCGATCTAGGAAACGGCGGGTATAACGACTCATCGACCGTCGAGCAAAAAAAGCAACGGTTTCGGGTTGGCCTCGTGGCCCAATGGCAAGGCGTCTGACTACGACAGGAGATTCATCTGAAGATTCGAATGGATCAATTTAGATCGATAATCAGGAGATTCTGGGTTCGACCCCCAGCGAGGTCAATGTTTTGCTCTACATCTCCCCTTCCATATTCGGATCTGGGAACTTATGTCCAAAATTTTTTATTTTTTATTTTTCCGATGTCATTAAGCTAAATGCTGTTTCATTTTCTTTCCTCGTGGTGAGGATGTAACCTGGTAGATAGTGGGGTAAAGTAGGTAGTGTACTCTGTCTGACCTCACTTGCGCTGTTCTTGCTTCTTCTATGTCATTACTCTTTGAATACTTTCAAGTGGTGACTCTGGCTATCATTATACGGCGCCTTGCCAACGTTGCAGGTCTAGATGGATAGTATACAAATACCATAATTAACCTGAATGATGAATGCACAAACGTAGGAGACGCCAATAAAGGGGTCGAAAAGTATAATTTTTCGTGTACAGGTATTAAACTAGCATTAGATTGAATGTCATTTTTGGGTATCCTTCATTATTTCCTCGTCTTCCGCGCGTGCTTCACCAGGTTTTCTATGACGCCCTCAAACGCCTCTCTGTCGCCGATTTTTTCATCTGTGCGCTCCTTCCAAAACTCGTGCACTTCGTTTGCTAAGACCTCCATTTGTTTCAACTTCCTCACGTGCTGCTGAAGTTCGATGTCAGTCATGCCTTTTAGGGCCTCCTCTGTCGTGGCGCATAGTTGTTTCGCCGCGACTAAGTCGAATGCTGGGATTTGAGAAGAGACTTTCCCGGCAGGCCTTTTCGGGCCAGACCTGGGTTTCTCCTTGCCCTGAGAGTCTACCGAGACAGACGATCGGTTGGTGTCTGATTTCCGTAGCCGAGACACGGAACGTGACTCCGAAGAAGTCCGAAGCGAGCCGTTTGACGTAATTCGGTGGAGAGATGGTAGAACCAGTTTTTTCTGCTTAGACGCGGGCAGAATCTCGTCTAGGTCTACAGGCACTCCAAGGGAAACTAAGAAGAGTCTCCGGATACGGGAACGAATCCAATCGGGTGGTTGAAGAGGGGGCGGGGCGGCTAACTGCGACCACAACGACGCGCTCCTCGGGTTGAAGAATATAGGATTATCGCTCGGAGGTGAAGGAAGGGGCGGAATATCGAGTACATCGGATGGGTATAATGCATTCAAATAGGGCTCAGTACCGGCCAGGATGTCTTCAGAGTCTAGCCCGTCAAGATCTAATATTGGCTTCGAGCACATAAACGTCAGTATAGCTGTGATAAGGCTACCTAAGGAGGGTACTAGACACACAAAGGAAGGTATAGAGACGCGTCGCTGGTTGGCCACTAACTGAGCAGCTGCAGGTTCTTCGGCCTGCTGGAAACCATCATCAAAATCGCCGAAATCCGCATCTTCATCGCCCGCTTCAAACTCGTCAAAATCGTCACCAAAATCGGCATCATCGGCGTCATCGTCATGCGTCCTCTCGTCGCGAAGACTCGCGACCGATCTGGCAGCAGAAGATCCCTGCCGTTTATGTGTTGATGGGGACTTTAATGGTTGGTTCACGGCCGTGTCATCTACGAAGGCACGGTCAATCGCAGTGTGGATTTTAAGAGGACTTGGTTGCCGTACCGGTGTCTTGTATGTTGTTGTCTAGGGAAGCTGAGGTGGGGCTGGCCTTGCTGGTGCCGTCTGGCTTCCGAATGATGTCGGGTGCGGCGTCTGCTTGATGCGAATGCTCGTGATGGCCGTGAGTCGAAGATCCAGGGACGTCGTCTGTCTCGTCGACAACTGTTTTGGGGATGATGATCTTTGGGGGCGCAACAGTCTGGCTGGCCAAAGGCGGAGACGATTCGTCTTGGATGATGGCGATTTCATCAGGCTCGGCATCCTCCGTTCGCTTGTCATAAGCCTCCGTACCAGGGACTTCCCCGTAAGAGGGCTCGTCATCAACCTTCTCGACCCGGGTTCTGGGTATGGGAGAGGCGGCCCCGGTGCTATTCCTGGGGGATGACTGTGCATCTGAATAGTGCTCATCCGAATCCGAGGCTTCTGTAGGGACGCATGTTAGGCTGTGAGAGCGGAGGCGGGAGGAAGGGCGATGTGCGGACCTAACTCGTGCGCACCAGGATCCTCAGTCCCTGTCCTGTCGGGCGCCTCGAGACTGGAGGAAGGTCTGCGCTCTCTAGACATGTCGGGGAAGGCAGTGGCTGGATACCAAGTATGATATCGCACGCTCACGATGGAGAACCAAGCGGGTGCTCGGGATGTAGAACAGAGCTGGGTTCGAAAGCTCGTCAAAGGTGGTGGCGCGCGAGATAGTTGAGGGGTAGAGAAGTCGACCAGCTGCTTGGCCGACAGACGAAGGGAAGACGACTATCGAGGTAGCCAATGAACTGACTAAGGGCAGAGCGGCTTGCGAAAGAGACGGGTGGATTGTTAGGGGCCGAGTTTAACGCAGGCTGAGGCCTAGCTTGGTGCACTGTACTGGGAAAGAAAGCCAAAAATGAATAGGACTCTAGGTACTAGTTAGGTAGTTACCACGTTCCCTTGAGCGTAATACTGAGGATCGGGATTGTAGCAAGGGGATCGGAGACATGAGACCTCCTTGGATGATGAAGCTGGAGAAGCTCTTCTTAGCAGTGTTAGTAGGTGGATAGGAGATGTACATCCAGGTTAGTACCCTCCTTAGGGACTTGCAAAAGGTAGATCGATCAACTTACAGTTCCACAACACGGCTACAAAGGTGGTCTAGACCGAATTTTAGAGAAACCATAGGTGCTATCTACGGGTACTGTAGCACAAGCCAAGCCTACAACCAACATCGAATTAGGGAGGTACCTTGCAAACCTAGGGACCCATATATGGTGTGGATACCATTGGTAGAGGTGGCTTGGCTACATGTAGGAATGCAGGAATGGAGCCATGTAAGTGGCGCAAGGTACCCAGGTACCTATATCAGCTGTCAGCCGCCTGTTCGGGCTGAAACAGCTGCCTAGCACACGCTGTAGCGGCGCGTAGTGCCTAAGGTACCTAGGTAGGTAAGGTCTAAGAAGTACCTAAGGTGAGCTTGTCGCGCAAAAAGTTGGTCGTTCAGGTACGGCATAAGACGACATAACATTTAAGGCGACAAAAGTCTAGATATTATCGAGGCGACGGAGTTGCTGGGTAACCCAAGCCAAGGTCTTTCCGCCTCATATTATCGCTTACCATTTTATAGGAAGCCAACCAGGTCGTACACGCTGCTGTTTCACCTTGCGTCCGTCACGAAGCAAGGGAACCCATCCATCCATCCATCCACTCACCGTCCACGTTGATTCCCAGCCATACGTAATCCCAGCGGACCTGGGATGAGCCTGTGCCTCTTGTGTCTCTGTGTCTCTGAGCGCCGCCGATTGACCTCTCACATTCCGCGTTCCGTCGTGACACCGCCGCGCTCGAGCCAACAAAGTATCCCTTCACACGATGTCCCTCTTTGGCGCCCCCAACTCTTCGGGGCAACCCAACAACAACAACACCAACAATAACAACAACGCCGGCAATAGTACACCCAGTGCCACCACTGCTGCACTCTTTGGATCATCGACAACATCCACAGCCGCTCCGGGCACCCTTTTCGGTAACCAGGCCAAAAGCACGCCCACCTTCTCCTTCGGAAACGCAGCTAGCGGCAGCGGCAGCGCCCCGTCTCCTTTCTCGGGCACTCCAACCACAGGCAGTTTGTTTGGCAATCCAGGTACAGGCGCAAAACCGGCCGAACAGAGACCAGCCTTTGGAGCCACGAGCGCCGCCACCCCTGCTGCTTCATCTACGCCATCTCTGGGCGGAGGTGCCAGTGGTAGTCTCTTCGGAAGCTCGACGTTGACGCCCCCAACCGCCAGCGTATTCGGAAGTAGACCGGCGGCGGCATCCCCAGCATCAGGTGCCAGTCTATTCGGCAACACCCCTCTCAGCTCGAATACTGCCACAACAAGCACCACCACGCTGACACCTCTGACGACGACGACAACGACGGCGCCGACGACAACGATGGCCACTTCTGCTGGCAGCCTCTTTGGGCAGAATTCTTCCGCAGCTAATCAAGGAACTGCTACCAACAAACCGGGCGGGCTGTTCGGCGGAGGTAGTGGTACCACTGGAGGTTCTTTGTTTGGTGGCACAAACTCGAACGCTACGTCCACTACCCAGGCAACACCCCCAAAGCCCACCTTCTCTCTCAATTCCACAACACCGGCTGGTGCGCCTCCAGCAAACAATTCTAAGCCGCCGAGTGGGGTAAGCCTCTTTGGTGCTACCACAGCCGCTCCGAGTACCGCGTCCCCGTTCGCTTCTGTTCAAGGTGAAAAAAGGGAGAGTCAAGCCCCCAGCCTATTTGCCAGCCAGGCCAGTTCACTGTCAAAACCGGCAACAACCCAACCATCCCCCTCCCTATTTCCCGCGGCTAGTCAACCTCCGAAACCAGCCATGTCTCTCTTTGGCGCCGCAAAGCCTGCCGAGCCTTCATCTGTCTTTGGTTCGAAGCCGGCAATTACAGAAAGCGCCGCTCCTGCGACCGGCTCGAGCGGTCTTTCGCTCTTCGGACAACCGGCGTCGTCTCAACCTGCCGAGACCACCCCTTCAGCTGCTAAGCCAGCTTCTTTGTTCGGAAATGCTACTGCCGCAACACCATCGGGAGGCTCCTTATTCAACGCCACCAGCGCGGCTCAGGCACCCAATACTTCGACGCCTGCCCCCACGACGACGCAACCCGGCTCCATTTTTGGAAATGCGAACAAGCCCGCAACCGGCACAACGACCGCCGAGCCTCCGAAACATCAATTTGGAAGGCCCGCTGCGAGCAGTGCCGCTTCAGAGGCCCCGAAGCCTTTAAGTTTGTTTGGTGCACCGTCGGCTTCGACTACGTCTCCCTCCACAGCCACGGCTGCTGCCCCTACCACCAACACCGGCACACCTGCTTCTAGCGCCGCCGCCCCCGGCACCACCACCGCATCGACTACTAACGCAACACAAAAACCCGTGACATCTCAGACCACCAGCCTGGGCGCATCGACGAATGGCCCAACCTCATCTATGGCGCGTCTGAAGAATAAGACTATGGATGA